TTACCAGCTGTGTGACCTTGAGCAAGTTTCTTAACCTCTCTGAGCCTCAAGGCCACCTCCTTTAGGAAGCCTTTCCTGTGTCCTGGATTGAGCTAGGTCCCCACTTTGCATCCCCAAAGCCCCCGTAGCACCTGGCCTGATACTTTGTGGCACTTAATGCAATTGTTATGAAATAATTAATTGTGTTTAATGTTGTCTTGTCTCTCCAGATCTTTGTTGTCTTATAGTATGTGCAGTGCCTGGCACATGTTGGGCCCGCAGCCATTTGTTAAGAAATAAATAAGTAAAGGAATGGGGGGATGCACGGCAGACACTGTAGTGGGGGCAGAAGGTTCAGAAATGATAAGCATCGTTCCCATCCTTGAGGAGGTCCCAGGCTACTGGGGGGCATAGTATGAGTTCATGCAAGAAAGACTGTCCTAAATGCCTTAATGGTGGATAAACCTTAATGGGGCTACACAATAAGGGGGACAGCACCAAGAGATCCAAAGATGAGTGGGATTCAGTCCTGGAACAGCTGACCCAACGACTTCCCTTTGTATTATGTGTTACAACTTTGCAAGACACGTAATTTGCACAAAATATCCATGTATGCCCTCATCCCGCAGAGATGGGGAAACTACTGCTGAGAAGAGTTCATGACTTGCCCAAGGCCAGTCAGGCCACCATGGCTGCCCGAGTGCACGGCTCACTGGCTTTGTAATTCAGCCCACATCATTCAGGAACTGAGCTTTGATGTTGTGAAGGCCTTGATTTAGATCCCATTAGATGTGAGACTTTGGGCAAGTTACTTTACCTACTTGAGCCTTGTTTCCTTAATCTGCAAGATCAGAATAATAACCCCCATAATCTATATGGGATAGTAACTATAAAGTACCCAGTATGATGCTTGGTTTATGGTAAAGAATCCTTAAGTGTCTGTTGAATGAATGAATGAATGAATGAATGAATGAATGAAATATAGGTCCTGGTGGGTGTCCTGAAATGTAAATGTAAATCATGCCTTTTGGGGGATAGTAGGAGAAATTTAGGGTGATTTTATCTCTTTCCACTTTCGCTTTCTATGATTCCTGTGAACCTTAGCACTTGCCTCAACCACAATGTTATATTTTATTGTTTTCAAACCAACAAAAGTGAACCAACCCCAGCTTGGTTAGCACTTTTATATATTTTATATATACCATTTTTCCTGATGACTAAGTAATAGAACTTCCTTGTAAAAAATTTAAATTGCAGCCCTGGCCTGTGTGGTTCAGTTCGGTGCATGGTCATTCCATGCACCGAAAGGTTTCAGGTTCAATTCCCGGTCAGGGCACATGCCTAGGTTTTGGGTTCGATCTCGGTTGGGGTGTGTATAGGAGGCAATAGATCTAGGTTTATCTTTCACATTTTTCTCTCTACCCTTCTCCCTTCTTCTCTTTCTAAAGCAAAAAATATATATAAAGAAAGAAAGAAAGAAAGAAGAAAGAAAGAAAAGAAAATTATTTTAAAATTAAATTGAAGACAGATAACATGAGGAACATGAAAGTGCAAATCTTGGGCACAGTAGGCACATGATGGTGACATATTGTTATTCTTTGGGAGGTGCAGGAGGGCATAGAACAGGGAGAAAAAAAATGTCTGCTTAAAAGTATTTGCTACTGGCTTTGCCATGGTTTCTGGGAGCTCTGTTGGGAGTCTTGCCTTTGGCTGTAGCATTGAAAGTTCAAATGAAGCTAAGGGCTGGGGAGGGAGGGAAATGAGAATTTCTGGGCAGGGGCTTTTTCGGGAGCGCCATGAAGAATGAGATGTGAGCTGTGGAACTTCCTATGATTCAGATGCACACTGCTGACCTGTCTTGTAGCTGTGTTTTCTCCCCTTTCTTTTTCCCTCTTAGCATCTAGTAGTGTTTTTTTTAAAGTTCCTGCCACACACACACGCACACACACACATACATACACACATACACACAAACATGTCAAACAGTAAGAAGAGAGGTGAGAGCCTCCTATTTAGTTCTCTATATTTTCCATATTTTTTTAATTGATTTTTTACAGAGAGGAAGGGAGAGGGATAGAGAGTTAGAAACATCGATGAGAGAGAAACATCGATTAGCTGCCTCCTGCACATCTCCTACCGGGGATGAGCCCACAACCAAGGCAGCCCTTGACCAGAATCGAACCCGGGACCTTTCAGTCCGCAGGCCAATGCTCTATCCACTGAGCCAAACCGGTTAGGGCTATTTTCTATATATATATTTTTTTAAATATATTTTTATTGATTTTTTACAGAGAGGAAGGGAGAGAGATAGAGAGTTAGAAACATCGATGAGAGAAACATCGATCAGCTGCCTCCTGCACATCCCCTACTGGGGATGTGCCCGCAACCCAGGTACATGCCCTTGACCGGAATCGAACCTGGGACCTTTCAGTCCGCAGGCTGACGCTCTATCCACTGAGCCAAACCGGTTTCGGCTATTTTCTATATTTTATGTATACATTAAGCATACCTGGTATATTAAAGTTATAACTATGGATCCTACTGTACCTGTAATTCTGCAACTTACTCTTATCATTTAACAATACCCAGTAGATGCACTTTCTTGCCTGATCATGCAAATCTACCTCATTCCTTTTACCAACTGAGCTTATGAAGTCAAGACTGTCAGCCCTACAGCCCAGAGGCCAGCACATGTGGGGCCTTTCTGGGAGGACATCATGAAATAGTAATAGCAGCCACCATATCCTGGCATGAACTGGGTGCCAGGCTCTGAACAAAGCTCTTTCACATGTTATTTCATTTATCATCACAGTCACTGTATGAGATAGGTGCTATTATTATTCCCATTTTTTATCTTCACCCAAGGATATGTTTATTAATTAATTAATTTTTTTAGAGAGAGAGGAAGGGAGAGAGAAAAAAATCAATGTGTGAGAGAAACTTCCATTGGTTGTCTCCCATATGCACCTAGGTATGTGCCCTGACTGGGAATCGAACCCACAACACTTTGGTGTATGGAACGACACTCCAACTAACTGACCCACCCTGCCAGAGAGATTATTCCTATTTTTTAGGTGAGAAACTGAGGTGCAGAGATTGCAAGTCCAAGGTCACACAATTGGTAAGTGGTGGAGCTGAGATTTGAATCCTGATTTGTCTTGTGCCAAAGCTTTGGTGTGAGTGAATGAATAAGTGGCAGATGGGGTCATCGGTCTCCGGGAGAAAGTTCTGTCTTCAGAACCTCCCAGGGTTTGCAAAGCTTGGAATCAGAGTCAGTACATGGGAAAGACTCAGTAAAGGCCCGTTCTTTGCCTGCAGCCATCCTGTGGCCACGCTGGGTTTTCATGGGAAGTAGCGTATTTGAATTTCCTATTCTAAAAATAAGCCTCAATTTGTTAGGGTCCCTGAGGACCAGCCCAGGCATTTCAGGACAGCCATGTGCCTGCCTTCAGTGCAGGAAATTAATCAGAATCCCCAAACCCTTTCCCTCTTCCCACAGGCCAGCATTCTGGAAACGCCCAGCGCCTTGCTGCAGCCCTCCTAGTGGACTGCAGAGATGCCAAGGGCAGTTTAACACAGATCCATCTCTTGTAAGGAAAGTGAGAGGAGAAAGGCATGAGGGAGAAATGGGTCAGCTCTGCTGCAAAGAATTTGCAGAGAGAGAGAGAGAGAGAGAGAGAGAGAGAATTTGCAGAGAGAACTTGAAGCTGTCCCCACTTTTGAGGAGGTGGCAAGTGACAGAGATACCCTGGTGTGTCAGATATGCCTCAGCAGAATCCCCCCTGGGGGCTCGAAACTGGAGTGTTGGTTCCTGTTCCAATGGCAATCCTCTGCAGGGCCGCTTTCAGGGAGCCTCTCCCTCCCGAAGGACTTCAGAGTCTTCTACTGTGTCATGATTGGGTGGATTATCACCAGAGGTGCTATGTGGTGTTACAAGCTAGAAATAATATTGATGATAATAATAACGAAAATAAGAACGACAACTACATGGTTTGTGGAACATGTGTGGGTTCTGACCTCAAGGAAGGGAGAAAGTGCTAAGAAACAAAAGGGAGGTTAATTTCGACACAAGTTAAAAATGTGTTCATGACCACATGAGAGTTAGACACAATGCTGTGGATATTCCAAGCAGGGAGAGTCCACTTCTGGCTGAGGGAAACCAGGAGTTGTAAGTTGAGATAAGACAGCAAGGGACGAGCATGGGCAATGGGGCAGATGTGGGAAAGCAGTGGGTGTGCCAGGGGAAGTTTGGATAAACTTTACAGTGTGTGTGTGTGTATAAAGGTAGGTCAGGGCTTTAGCCTTTATTCCATAGGCAATAAGGAACTTACACAAGAGATGTCTCAAGAGACCAGCTATGCTGCTGCAGTCAGCCGAAGCAGCTCTCAGCGCTTCTGTGCCCCAGCTTGTGAATGCAGCTCTGTGCCAGTATGTGGGAGGGCATCTGTCAGGAGTGTCTCTGGCTGTGCCCTGCACCATGCTGGGTGTGGGCCTTGGGCTCCCTTCAAAAGCTCGCCTCTCCGTGTCTCTGGGTAGGTACCTCGCACATAGTAGGTCCACAGAAAATAAATAATTATTGGAGGGAGTTTTGAGATCATCTGGTCATCGTCCCTTCCCATTTTAAAGAAGTTGAAAGTGAGGGATGGGAAAGGACTTGTCTAGGATCACACAATTAATTAATAGCAGAGGGGGGACTGGAACTCATGCCTCCTGAGTCTCAAACTGAGTTCCTTTTCCACATTTGCTGAGTAATAGAAATAGTATCTGTTGCGTGATGGCACTATAGCAGGCCCCAGGCTAACCACCTTTACATGGATTATCTCCTTTAGTCCTCGCAACACCCCAGAGAGTGCCCCTCTTCAAAGCAGGACGTTCTGTCTCCCATTTTGAATTCCCACCGCGCCTACAACTTGGCGGAGTCTTGTCTGGGAAGGATAAAATACGACGGAGGGGGCGGAGCGTACAGCCTAGCCCCGCCCCTCGCCGCAGGCCCCGCCCCCAGGACGCTGACGTCACCCACTGGCCCGCCCCTCATTGTCAGTCCAGGGGAGCCCGAGGAGGCGCCGGCGGCCGGGAGCGGAGCGCCCGAGCCCTGGGCGGGCGGGAGCGTGGGCCGGAGCCGCCGAGGTGAGGGGTCTGCGGCGGGGCGGCGGGGCGCCGGGCGGGCGTCCGGGGCGGGCGTCCGGGGCTGGGGAGGGCGTCCGAGTGGATGGCCTGCCCCGCGGAGGGGTCGGGGGCACCGGGGGCGGCGGGGCAGAACCGGCCGGCGCCCCGGGGGAGGGCTGGGGGTGTGGAGTGGAGGTGGGGGCAGAGTTTGGAATTTTGGAGCAAGAACTCGGGCGGGGAGACCTTGGGGGGCGAGACCTTGAGAGTGTTTCTGGAGTTTTTGGAGGGGGAGGGAAGCTTCGGAGAGACTTCTCGGTGGGAACGAGACTCTGAGGAGAAACGTTGGGCCGGGAGCTCGGGGATGTTTAGGGGGGAGTGGGGGGCGGAGGAAGAGTTTTAAGGTCGAGTTTGGGAGTCGGAGGGGGAGCGCGCGGGGCCCGGTGGGGGCGGGGAGCGGCGCGGCGGGGCGGGGGGCCGGGGCGGCCGGGGAGGGGGCTGCGCGGGGCCCGCGGGCACCCGGGAGGAAGGAAGTGATCTTACAGGAAGAGCCGGGAGCTGAGGAGGAGGAGGAGGAGGAGGCGGAGGAGGAGGTGGGAGCGTTCGGGCCGGCGTGCGGGGGCCGGCTGCGGGACTGCGCCGCGGGGGTGCGGGCCGGGCGGGGAGGGGTCCCGCCGCCGCCGCCGCAGCTGTCGGCCTGCCTCGCCGGCCGCGTCCCGGCGGATGCTGGTCTCACGGCCAGACCGCCGGGCTAGGAAGGAATTTGAGGCATTCGCTTTGTTTAAGTTGCCAGTAGACAGTCCTGAGGACTAATTAATGGTGGAATCTGCAGGGGGACGCAGGCGAGCTGGGCCGGGCCGCCCGCCGCCGCGGTGAACTTTCCGCAGCGCACGCGGCCCGCCTCCCCGCCTCCCCGCGCACCCCCACCCCTGCCCGGCCGGGAAGGAGCCATGGCTTCCCGAGGCGCAGGAATGAAGTGCGGTTTGTGGGGCCAGTGGCCTCGGGCTGCGGAGGCTGCCTGCGGGGAACCCGGCGTCCCGGAGCGGCCGGGCGGGGGGGCTCGGAGCCCGGGGTAGCGCTCCGCGAGGTGCCTGCGGTTTCTGTGAATAACCTTGGAGGACGCTCTGCGAGCCCAGAAAGACCATCTTGCTTTGGAGCATCTGTTTCTTCATCGTCAGCCCCTTTCCTCACTGCAGAACTTGTGGTGGCTTGTTTCGGAGATGCCGAGACTAGTGCTCACGCTTGGGGGTGGGAGAGGGGAAGCGAATAGACACCCCCAAAACGCTGCGGTGGGATCTCCGCACAGGCGGACTTCTGGCAGGCAGATCCCCCGTCGCACCTTCTCTGACATGAATGACCTTGGGAGACAAATTGTGCTTCTGAGCTGCCTTCTCCGCCCGTCGCTGGTGGAGAAAATGCTCTCTGGACCGCCCTGCCTTTTGGGGGTCTTTCGAGAGGTGGGGTTTGCCCAGGGCTTTTTTACACACTGCCGCAGTTCTGGCCTTAAGGAGCTGGACTAGTGTCAGAACCGGGGGAATTCAGTTCACCTAGTTGTTAGATTTTACTGCCTCAGATGAGGGAAGGAGGGGGGGGGGTGTATGGATTTTCGGGGGACATTTCCCTTCTGAGAATCGGTACCAGTATGTTCCAGATGGCTTCCTGTCACTTAGCATGTTTGGTGGCATTCGTGTGGTTAAATTGAATAACCCCCATAGAAAATTCTCTTGTCAGAAATAATTATTTTGCTCAGAATTCCCCTTGGGGCATATTAAAGTTGTGCTCAATTTACTCAGAAGAATTTTTCAGGCTTCTAAAATTAAATCACTTTTCTAAACATAGTCACTAACGTTTGAAAAACTGGAAATAGTGGGGCGGGAAGGGAGTTGATTAGAATATAAACAAGGCAGCAAATACTGGTTCCTCGTCCTGTGATTACGAACAGGGATTGTGGATCAGCCTTGATTAATAGGTATTTTCTTACTCTTAAATAATTTAAGACCAAGAAAGGGAACTAACATTGTTGAGTGCCTATTCTGTGCCAGTAATTGTGCTCGGTGGTATATATCTCACATCGTCCTCACAAGTAGTTGGCGTCTATTTCACAGATGAGCAAAGGGTGAGGGTCAGAAGTTTCTATATAAAACTAGTAAGAAGTGGAGCTGGAATTAAAACTCAAGTCTGTGTCTAAGGTCCATGGTTATCTCCGATAGGCATCCTGCATTGGGAACCAGGTGGCTTAGCTTCTAGGTCTTTGACTGAGCCACTAGGTCACTGGGATCCTGTCAGTTAAGTCTATTTCCCAATAATGTTGCCTTCTTTTCCTCCAGCAGTGTTGTCAGTATGCTTTTGAGATGTTCTGGGTTTTTTTGTTTTTTGTTTTTTTTTTGTAGAAAGACAAACCCATGTAGTAGTGCTATATTTTATATGCAGTAGGTGCTTAATACATTTTTTTCTCATAGAGTACCTGGGTGACCATAGATTGCATTTATGTAATGGAAGATGTTGGATAGCTAATGGTTCTTCCACTGTAGAGGCCATCATTGAGGTGATACTCATGATCAGAAATGGAACCATTTTTCATGTAACATGGCTTTGTGGGACATTGTCAGCTTCTGAGTAAAGCACATTACATACGGGTAGGACCTACATAGTCAAGCTGAAAGATTGGGTATAAACTTTGAATGCACATAGTAGGTGCTCAATAAATATTTGCTGAATGAATGCATGCATTCTTTTCTTTAAAAATATTTTTCTTGACTTTTTATTAAAGAGAGAGGAAGGGAGAGGGAGATAGAAACATTGGTGAGAGAGAAACATTGATCAGCTGCCTCCTGCATGGGACCTATTGGGGATCGAATTTGCAACCTGGGCATGTGCCCTGATCGGGAATCAAACTAGTGACCTCAACTACTGAGCCACACTGGCTGGGCTTTTTCTTTTTTCAAGTCAGCTTTGTCGAGGTATAATTTACCTACAATAAAATTCACCAATTTTAAGTGTACGCTTTGTGATGTATACATGACAAATGTATATAGCTGTGTAATCACTACCGCCTTCATTTGTTTAAATTGGTTAGCAGAGTGGTCCCTGGAAATTTTGTTAAGTTTTTATATTCTCATTCAATACTGGTGCCATCAGAGTGCATATTAGAGAATTCAGGTTCCCCAATTTGTAGGAAAGAGGGAAATCTTAAGATATTTAATGGTGAGATGCATGAGGAGAATAAGAGAGGGAAGATGGGGACATTTGTCAAATCAGGGGAAAGATATTAAACCAGGTTTTCATTATTTTTGATACAATTGTGGGAGAAAAATTACCCAAAGATTTATTGAAGAGTTGAACTGCTATTTATTTATTTACTTATTTTTATGAAATGCTAGCTCCTGAAATATAAAACAACATCTTTGGCTATCCTTAAGAAGTACTTACAGATTATGGTTGTTCAAATAATTCTTAAGGGTGGGGATGCTATAAAATGATTACAAGCCTTGCCCTTCCACCTGTGACAGAAATAGCCTTAGTTTACCTAACTTGTTTTAGCTAATATTCCACAAAGGGAATACATTAGGTAGAAATTGTGTCTTGCTGGGAAGACATAAGTTTATTTTTTCCTTCTCATAATTTCTCTTTACTGAACTTGCCCAATCTGCTTCTATTTAAGTTTCTATCGAAGGAAATGCTTGAAACCTGTTACTGCACTTCTAGAAGAAACTCCATTTTTACCTCTTACTCCCTGTTTCTCTTTATTCATTCTATTTCTATATGTTGCCTGTTTTATAATCATCCTCTCCTACCCGAGAATCCTGAGAATGGAAACTTCTCAACCATCAGCCTTCCATATACCATTAGGAAATAACAATTAAAATAACAGTCCACCAACTCAGTATTTTGGGTATGACAGGGAGAAAATAAAAACTCTGTGAGGTAGTCATTATCCTCATTTTATATATGAGGGATCTGAGCTCAGAGTAGTTACTGCCAAAGCTAGTGAGGGGCAGACGATTGATTTGAACTCCTGTATAATTGATGCTCAAGTTTGGGGTATTTTTATTTCATTACATTCTTTGGTGTATTAGGATTGAGGAGAGGGAAGGGTGGGTCGGGGGCAGGGAGAGGCAAAAGAAGTGCTTGAAAATACCATATTAAAATATAAGCCAGAACATAATAAGCATTGCTAACCTGTTTAAGCATTGCTGTTTTTATCTATTTCATTTTTATTAAAAAATACATTTTTATTGATTTCAGAGAAGGAGAGAGAGAAACATCAGTGATAAGAGAAAATTATGTATTGGGCTGCTTCCTGCCCACCTCCTACTGGGGATTGAGCTCCCAACTCTGGCATGTGACCTCCTGTTTCATAGGTTGATGCTCAACCAGTGAGCACACCAAACAGGCTCATTTTATTTCTTTCTTAATTTCTGAAGATACCTCCTTATATCTAGCTTTATTGCAAAACTCCCTTCCCAGATCCAGCATTTATTCTTTTTCTAAAAAATAATGTTTTTATTTATTTTTAGAAAGAGAGGAAGGGAGAGGGTTTGAGAGATTGATAGAAACATCAATAAGAGAGAAACATCGAGGTCTCAGTAGGCTGCCTCCTGCACATGCTCCACTGGGAGTTGAGCCGGAAACCAAGCCCCACTGGGAATCGAACCAGTAACTTCTTGGTTCCTGGATATATGCTCAACCACATAGGCTGAGCATTTATTCTTTATAAGCATGGTACTTTGTATTCACTCCTCTCCCTATTTTATGTGTATCTGAAAACAGTAGGTTAATCTATCAATGAAGACCCCTACATATTTGTATATGTTCCTCTCTATTTTATGTGGATAGAGCAATATTTTTAATTTATTGATATTTTTCTTTTGTTTTTTAGAAGGAGAGAGAGAGAGAGAGAGAGATTGATTTGTTGTTCCACTTATTTATGCATTCATTGGTTGCTTCGCCCTCATCAGGGATTGAACCAACAACCTTGGCATATCGGGATGATGCTCTAACTAACTGAGCTACTCCATCTGGGC